AAGGCTGATGCATTTATAACCATGGTGTCACAAAAACTTACTCTCTACAAGTATCAAAAAGAATAAAGATTTTCTGCCGGGTGCTGGTGGCTCATGCCTGTAATACTAGCTACTCAGGAGGATCATGGTTTGAAGCCAGCCCAAGCAGGAAAGTCTGTAAGACTCTTATTTCCAGTTTACCAGCAATAACAGCTCAGTGACAGCACCCAGGCCCTGAGTTCAAGCCTGAGCATAGGCACAAAGAGAGACAGAGACAGAGACAGAGAGACAGAAACAGAGAGACAGAGAGAAACTTGCCTATTGCCTAAGTCCTAACTATTAGCTGGAGACAAGTTACTTCCTCTTCAGCATAAGGGACTCCCCAACTCTCTTCTAGTATACCAACTCCTTACTGCATCCCTAGCTAACCTGCACCTGAGTCACTCAGTGTGTGGCTCGGAGACTTATTTTTGGTTGGCATCTGGAGAGGGGTGCTTCTGGCATTGGGTGGGTGGAGGCCAGCCCTGTGCTCAGCATCCTAGAGGACACTGGGCTGCACTAGGACAATGAAGTATCCGGGCCCCTGGCATAAATAGCGCTGGAGGGAGGACCCTGCCCTGGAATTTCAATGTTTCTGCCTGGCAAACTCCAATCTACCCATCAAGACCCAGCTGGCCAGTCACCTGCCCGGTGATGCTTTCCTTGGCTAAAACAGGTCCCTTCCTCCAGAAAAATATCATCCAATATTTCTTTCTGAAGCATACTGCTGTTCTAGCACACCACATGCTAATTAGAATGAAGACAATCCTTCTGTTTACTGGTGTGTCCCCATTACTAGGAAGGGAGGGCCCCCAAAATAGGTGATCTTTACTTGGTCTATTTGATTATTTTATGTGCCAGCCTGGAGGCTTGAACTTATGGCCGAGGCATTGTTCCTTAGCTTTTTAGTATTTTTGGCTCAAGGCTAATGATCTACCACTTGAGCTCTACTTCTGCCTTTTTAGTAGTTAATTGGAGATAAGAGTCTCATGAACTGTCCTGCCTGGGTTGGTTTTGAATCATGATTCTCAGATCTCAGCCTCTTGAGTAGCTAGGGTTGCAGGCATGAGCTACCACGGCTTAGGCTAGTTAATTGGAGATAAGAATCTCAGAGACGTGGGGCTGGGAAGTTGGCTCAGTGGTAGAGCACTTGCCTTGCATGCCTGAGGCCCTGGGTTCGATTCCTCAGCACCACATAAGCAAAAAGAAAAAAGCAGGAAGTGGTGCTGTGGCTCAAGTGGTAGAGCACTAGCCTTGAGCTGAAGAGCTGAGGGACAGTGCCCAGACCCAGAGTTCAGGCCCCACGACCGGACCCAAAAAAAAAAAAAAAAAAAAAAGAATCTCAGAGACAGAGCTGGCTTCAGACCTCGATCTTTAGATCTCAGCTTCCCGAGTAGCTAGGATTACAGGCATGAGCCACTAGTGCCCAAATTTTAAATTTTTTTTATTCTTAGTGGTTGGCATTTAAATCTATGCTTGATGAATGAATTAATGAAGATCTGTCTGTGGAGAATACAAAGTATTTCCAAGCAAACATCCCAGCTCCCTGTAGTCAATATTGTAATTCTCAAGTTTGAAGAAATATACATTCATATATATGTATTTGTATTATATAGAAATATTTATAACCAAACCATATAACCAATATATATATTTATATATAATCACATTTCCAAACCTGGTCATTTACATTGTTGCATCATTATGAATAACATTGCTTTTTCTAGGAAAGACTGAGTATGTGTGGCTCACATAAACCAATTATCTCAAGCAATCTGGCTTGATGACATAAAGTCCTTATAAGATCAGGAATGCAAAAATAATAGGACACTAAAATAGGTATATATTTAAGACATTTACCTTGAAAAAATAACCAAATAAATGACTGAAATGTGTAATGCGAGGTAAGCATTTTTCAAAAGTTCTTCTGTATTATACCTAAAGGTCTTTCCTATTCAGGAATAAGTAATAGATAATAAGCAAAAGAGAAAACATACAAAAACTATTTAAAAACACATATGTAAGTAAATGATAGAAGAAGCTTAAGCTTAGTAAAAGTCTAAGGCCTTGAATGACACAGTCATAATATCTAATGGAGAACCTAGACCTTCACTAAACAACAGATAGGGAAAAGATACTTAGAGTAGGCAAAGTACTAGAAAGATTTAAGAACTCTCAATAGTAACAATCCTTAACCTGTTCATGGGTTGAGCTGACAGACTATTTCACACAACCTTAAAACATGAAAATTCCTATTTGTAGATCAAAAGTCACTTGACTGCCTTTACAAATGCGATACTGAATTCCTAAAGGCATGCATTACAAACTTTATCCTTGCTATTATTATGGCATAAACAAACATTTTCAGCCCAAGTCCCATCTTCCTCCTAAGCAATAAACACAGTACACATTCTGTGTCTCCTATCTAGGTAAAAACTTTCACTAGATATTAAAACTTCATCGTCAATGAGCTGTTGATTATAGGGAACTAGGCTGTGGGTACAGGCTGGTAACAAAACATAGCAAAGAATCTGTAGCTTTTTCCAGGCCTTAGGAAACAGTGGTCTCTGACCAAAGCAGTGATTTAATTTCACGGCTGCCCGGTACAGATAGTTGACATGACTAAATGCTACTCTAATATCAACTTGTTAAAAGTGAATACAGACTCAGCATATCAGAATACGCACCCAGACTCACTGGAGACATGGGAAATATTTTGGGAGCTGTTTATTTATAAGTGAGTTACAATATACCACTATAATTAGATTAATATATAATTATTGATAAACACAGGATTATTTCTACAATCTTGTAACTGTTGCCACTGCTGTGTTTAGAAAAGGTAACTGTACTATGACTCCTCAATAAAATAAGCCTTTGGTGTGTTGTTGTTGCTGTTGTTTTACTACTTATCAATTCGATCAATTTAGACCCAGCCTGCATTGAATTTAACTGTTATCACAGTATTTATGATACTTTTATGACAAAAAGTTGTTCAATGAACATGGAAAGAAGAACACAATGTAAAACCCTCCAACAAATTGCATACTTCGACTATTCTATAATCCAATAATCTCCCCCCCCCAATAGAACTGGGATTAACTAGTCCTTTTGGTTGTCCTCCAATTATTAGTTAGCTTACCTATGTTAAACTAAGCACCATGAAAATGTATATTTTTGGCAATATAAAAGGCATTCATTTCACTTAAAATACATTTAAGCAAAACTTGGATGGAGCCTTTTCTTTCCCTAAATGACAGAAAGAATAATAAACTGAGATCTAGAAGAATAAACTTGTAAAAAAAAAACAACAACAAATACTCTGTGAAAAGTATCAAGAAACTCAAAATCAACTATGTTAAGGATATTGCTATAACTAATTTTTGGTCAGTTATTCCTTTCAGATTATTTCATTAAATGTAAAATAATTTTATAAGTAACAGTCATTCAATTAACGGTTCCTTTGTTTCTTACTAAGTACCGGCTAATGCGTCTCTTGGGGAAAGAGGACAGTTGAATGCTTATACTCTTCTCCTGGCTATTCAGAAGGTTTTCTAAATGGAATCAATAATCCAAAAAACATAGATTGGAATGTGACATGTAATCTCTTTTTTTCATCTTCAGTAGTTAGATTAACAATCTGGACATTGGTAACAATTATATTTGTCAGATTTCAAAAGAGAAAAAACAAACTATCCAGTACTTAGTATTCTGTCTGCCTCAGCTACTTATCTAGTCTTTTTTCCCCTTTCTAATCTTTAGTACAGATATTGAATGATACATAAATATAAATATTAACTGATATATAAATACAGATAAGCAGGTAGAGCCCACTCTCACACTCCCCCTCAAATAAAACTATATTCTAAGATAAACTAAGATAAATTTAGTCAGAAAAAAATTTGTTTCCTGCAATCTAGCAAGACCTTCCAAACACAGAATTAAAAAGAAGAAAACAAAAACAAAACTATTTCAGTCCAAACTATTTTAAGTACTTTTGAACTGCTTTGGCTAAGATTCATTAGAGTTAAATTACTATATAATAAATTTGCCCAAAAAAGAAATTAACATGGTAAATAGAAAATTATGGAAAATGCCGAGTGATTTCAGGCAAATTCAAACATACAAAACTTAGAAATCAATATTGTTGAGAGAGGAAGCTAAATTTTAGAAGCCAATATTAACTATTAGCTGAAGGAAAATAGGGCAGAAACAAAATTCCTGTGGTTGGAGTATACACAAATGCCAATACCATTTCTTTTTCTCTGTTTAAGCATGCAATTATAATAGTTTCTATCAATGATCTTATGTCTACATGCATGATCAAGAAATATTCCTATGTGCCTTTATAACAAGATCATAATATTTTTATATGCTTTGCTTCATATATTAAATAACCATTTACTTTATTTTACAATGATTAAGGAGAAAGGGAAAACTATAGGAATACTGAATGTTATTAAATACTATTACATTTTAAATTATAATATATATCATCCCTATTTGGACATAGGAGTAATACATGAATATACAAAATACTGTGTAATGTTATGTGTGTATCAGATATAATATACATTTAATAATACATTAAAATACTGTGTAATATATTTAAGTATTGTGTAATATTAATAGTTTTACCAATGCTAATAGTAATAATGTATTAAAATTGTTGAAAGAAAAATATAGCAAGATAAAATGTTACAAAATTGTTTACAGAAGCATTTTACAACTTAAATCACTTAGAAAAGGTTTGTTTTTTTTAAAAAAAAAATGCATAATTTGTCCATTAAGGAAATAATACAGTGAAAACCTTTTTGGGGGATTTCTTCTGATTTCCAATTAAAAGTGGTAGTTACAAAAGTTTTGCTAGCTAACAACTAGGAACCTCTATAAACTGCTGTTATAATCAGTTGCAACCAAATGTGTCATTCCACTATTCTAACATAAATGAGCATTTAATGATCGGACCTAAGGAAACTTACCTTGTAAGAATGAGACAGTTGGCCTGTGAAATCTCTGTTGCTCTCTCTTGATAAATTATCAACTTTAACTTCACTTCCAGATGCAAATTTTATATGTAACTGCGATGGTCCCCCCTTAGAACAATTGTGCTTCAGGCTGGATAAACAGGAAATATTTGGATACGTTCCTCCCAATGAAATACTTCTTTGTAGAGTAGCGTGGTTTCTGTGCATCTGCGGCTTTGGTCTTTCCAACTCTCCACTGATATTGACCTGGCAATCTATGTTGGGGGTGTTCGGTAGGCAAGCCGATGGTGCCCTAGGTGGGAACTTGGGATGCTCGGACTCAGAAGGAAACTTCATTTCTGACCTCTCTGGTTGACAATCACCCTTTGTTTCACCATCTAACAGGCTTGCTGTCTGTTGGGTGAACTGCACTGAAACGCAAGCATACCCTTCGGCCGACTTCTCACAGAGAGTCGGGTTTGGCCTGTTATGATTTGAAACAACAACTCTCTTTGGTGATGTATGGAGTGGCCGGATGTCTCTCACTTCTCCTCCGGGGGTCCCGAGTGTTTTGGATAATCGGAGTCCATTGACAGCTGTGGAGAGGAATCCTTTGGCACTGGTGCCATCTTCGTGATGTCCAGGCTCATTAGGAGAAACCACCAACTGGTGAGAGGTTTGGTAGGCTCCTCTGCTTGGGAGAAGACCCGTGGTGGTGGGGGAAGCTGGTGGCGTGGTTGAAGGACTCCTAGGAAAAATGACTAAGGAGGAACAGCGCTTGAGTGGGATTTTTGTATTCCTGCTCACAGGCGAAGTCACCACGTCTAGTCCAGGCTCTGAGCCATCCTGGATGATGGGGACCACACTGGGACTTCTGGAAAAAATCTCACAGGGAGGGGTGCTCCTGTGTGGTTTGGTTGTATTCGAGGTGCTGTCGGAAGATAAAGTGCCACCAAAAAGTGTCTCATCACTTGGTGGGCAAGTGCAGGTACTACTGTCACTGAGGACACTGTTTGAGTACGAACCTCCACTTGTGATACTTGTACAGGAGCCGTAATCGCTACCAGTGCTACTGCAGGATCCATTGTCACTGGCTGACACGTTACTGAGGCTCCCACTCCCAGGGGCAGGAGCATCGTGCAGTTCATGATCAATTACAGCAAATAAGACATCCTCCCCCTCCGTTAAGACGTGGCTAGACTGGAGACCTCCACCGTACCTTATGGGCTGGAGGGAAATCTGCAGGCAGCTGGTCTTCTTCTGCACACTGTCAGAGGAAGGGACAAAGGCTACTTCCCGAGGCTTCCCATGGTCCTGTGTGAACGGAGCAGCAAAGGCAGCGTGCCTAGGAGTCAGGTTCATCTGAACTACATTCGAGGCTGAAATCCGTGCTGGGGTCTGGAAGGACCCGGGAATCCGCCTGTCCAGCTCATCTTCTGGAGTTTCCGACAGAGGGTAAGTGTTGCTTCTTCTTGCTGTGAAGTGCAGTCGCAAGCTCTGTGCCATTTGTTTGCATTTCCGAACATATTAAGAGCTGGAAAATCCAAACAAAGATCTCTGTCCCGTAGAGAGGCTAGAAGCAGCTGCACTCATCCCAACGAGGGGGAAAAAAATCATTTGTGGTGGCTTAAAAAAAAAAAAGCAGGGAGTGGGGGGGGAGAGGGGGAAGAAGCAGTATCTGGCAGTAGTCTTTCTCCTAAGTAAAACATGATATACCAGAGTCCAGAGAGAGAAAAAGACGGTCCATGCCGCAGACTGATATTTCCAGAATGTCTTTGAGTCTCTTGTTGTCCAAATGCGACCTTTCAGCTGAGCTCAGCCGCAGCCCTGACTCAAAACACAGCCAACACTGCTCCAGTATACCTTCTCCAATTTGCATGAATGACTAACACAAAGACAACAATCCTCTAGCATTTCAAGTCGAAAACCTTTTTTTTTTAACCCCAGCTCTACTAAATGAACATTTAACCACCACTACCACCACCCCCCCCCAACACACACACAGAATCACACTTCCAATACTTTCTCCAGCAGAGTCTGACCACTAATATTTTTCTCCAAAGGTTTAGAATTACAGGAAGTGGGTAGGAATGAAACTCCCATGTAATTGAGTATCAAATCAAAGATTGAATTTCCAAATAGTAGTCGTAACTAGGAATCGAGTCGTCAGTTAATGCAGAAAGGAAAATGAACCGTTAAAATAAAATTTTTTTAAATGAAATCTATTCAAACAAGTTGTATAAATTTGGAAAGAGCCAAAGCAGCAGGGTGAATTAGGACTTCAGCATTAAAATACCACTTATAAAAAGTGAAAGCTAACAGATATTAACTACAAAATGATCCTCTTGAGACTGCTTCCAGAATGGAGCACAGAACTGAGGAAAAAAAGCAGGGGAAGAAAGAAAAGAAAAGAAAAAAAGTTTTAAGAGACGCTGTCACCAAGTTATTTTCTCCTGTAATTTTAAGACCTTGTGCTGCCAACTAGAACAGTGTTTAAATGATGCCATTTATATTTTGACTATTAAAAACTTTGCCAAGAAATAGCCAAAGCAAACATTCCATTAAAAACATATGCAGATTAGACAGAAAAACTATACCCTAATCTAGTCTGAACACACTGGATATTTTATTCCACTGTCTCTGCAATATATTCACTTAAGAGGGAGGTACATAAAGAAGTCTAAACAGGGTTTCACACATCAAATAAACATATCTCAATGCCAATTCTGTTCTGGGAAAAAAAAAAAAAAAAAAAACCCGCTTGGGAGCTCTTTGCTGCCCCCTACCGGTGCTTTGAAACAATCCAAGTCGCTGTTTGATATGTATAAAGAAATACAACCCATGCATATTTCTTTATATAAACAGAGTGCATACTTGTTTACATTTTTGAGCTGGCCTCAAGGTGGAATTGCTTACCCATGCTGATAAAACTCTCACTGTAGGGAACAGTAGGCTGTTTGTCTTTCCAGAGGTTGGGATTTTGTATGTGTGTGTATGTGTATATATATATATATTTTTTTTTTTTTTCCTTTTTGGCTTTGTATTTATTTAACCTTTATTTTCAGTTTACTAGGGCAATAAAGTGTAATATTTTAATTTCTCTCCCAAATGTCATAGACTAAGGTTGGTATTCTGTTTGGAAGAAACAAATTTATTTTTAGATAATACTCTAGGGTATATTTAAACCTCTTACCTGAATTTTATAGCTGAAAGTCTAGCAATAAATATATACTGGCTCATTCATAGGAAAGTAAAAAGGAAAACAGCTGAGCTGTTTACCACATGGAACTACACCCCAGTTGTATTTTTCTAAGTTTTTTTTTTCGCCCTAAGTAAAAGCAAATATGTAAAATATATACCCGTATTTTGTTTAAACAAGAAAATGGCTGAAGTTAGGTCTGTTTTTAATCACCATTTTTAAACAGAATTTTTAATCAATTAAGACATGATAAAACATAAAGAGGAATTTCTTGAATTTTATTTGACTCAAAGGAGACATTTCTGTCTAAGAAGGTATATAATGGTTGTAAACTTAGTAATACACTTATCACAGTACATTGGTTTTATAAAACCTATTTCCTTATGATTTTAAAGACTTCAATAAATACCCTTGTTTTTTCTTTATTCGTGTGTATGTGTGTGTGTATGTGTGCGTGCATGCGCACGTGCCAGTACTGAAACTTGAACTCAGAACCTGAATGCTATCCCCTAGCTTTTTCTGCTCAAGACTGATGTTCTATATCATTTGAACTACAGCTTCACGTTTGACTTTTTTGGGGTTAACTGGAGATAAGAGCTTGTCATGGGTCTTTCCTGCCTGGGCTAGCTTGGAACCTCAATCTTTAGCTCTCAGCCTCCTAAGTAGTAGCTTGGATTATAGGTGTGAGCTACCAATGCCTGGTTGCCTCATGCTTTGTTTTATGATTTCTTTTAAAAAGATGATCCATTGCTTCTTCTAAAGAAATTTAAAAGGAGAAGAAGAAGAGAAAGATGAAAAAAAAAAACTGTAGCTAGACAAGAAGGAATGATACTTGAAAGATTTAAAGAGAGAGTTTCAGACAAGAGAAAGTAAAGCAAGAGAATCCTGTGTACTCTCTAGTACTCCCATTAGAGCTCTGATTCCAGAAAGACTGAGAATCCTGTACTTCTAGGATCTGAACTACAATTAGTGCAGCCACGCTGGGAATCAGCGCATGGGGTAAATGTTGCCCCTCAGTCTCGTAGAGGCTGCAAGGTGAGTAGTCAAGCCTCATCTCAAGGCAGGGGGCCTGGGCATCAGTGATTGCCCTCACCGGGGAGGAGGCCGTCCATAGTGGTCCTACAGATTTTCCTATTCCTGGTAGGACTAAAGGTCACGGGACCCCCCACTCTGAGCTGTGTTGTTATTATTTACACACAGAATGACATGATGAAGAACGGCATGACACGGATAGGCTCTGGGTAATGCTAACGGTTGATGAACCTTAAGGGCCGAAGTCCACTGTGATAGTTAACTGCACAGAGCAACTAGATGCACACAGTCATGGTGCCTTACTTCTGGTCACATGTTAGTTTAGGTCCTGCTCTGAAGGTACTTCAGAAGTTAAAATGAACAGCCAGGTACTGGTGACATATACCTGACATCCTAGCTACTCAGGAGGCTGAGCTCAGAGGATCCAGGTTCAAAGCCAGCCTGGGTAGGAAAGTCTGTGAGATTCTTTATGAGATTCTTTTTTTCTTTTTTTTTCCTGGGGGAGGGAGAGTCACAGTCCGGGGGCATGAAATCAGGGCCTGGGCACTGTCCCTGAACTTTTTTTTTTTTTTTGCTCAAGGCTTGCATTCTACCACTTGAGCCACATTGCCACTTCTGGCTTTTCTGTTGCTTAAGAGGTTAAGAGTCTCAAAGACTTTCCTACTATAGCTGGCTTTGAACCACGATCCACAGATCTCAGCCTCCTGAGTAGCTAGGGTTATAGGCATAAGCCCACCAGTGCCCAGCAAGAGACTCTTACTTCCAATTAACCACCAAAAAGCTGAAAGTAGAGGTGTGGCTTGAATGATAGGGTACCAGCCTTGAGCAAAAAAAGCTAAGGGACAGCTCCCAGGCCCTGGGTTCAAGCCCCAGTAAACCACCCCCTCAACAAATACTAGAGATATGATTAACACTGTAATTGCCAAACTTTGAGGTCATTTGATTGTATTCCATAATGCAAATAGTCCAATTAGTTGAAGGCCATAAAGACAAGAAGTTTCCCCAAAGAAGCAATTCTGCCTCAACTCTCCACTTTAGAAAGCCTGCCTATATTCCCGGCTTCCTGGCTTTTCCCACTGATTGCACACTTGCCAGCTTCCACAAACACATAAATCAAGCCCTTAAAATCTCCGTCTCTCCCTCCCTCCGTCTCCAACCCTAATCAATGCAACCATTAAAACTCACAAGTGCAGTGGCCCCACCCAGAACCCAGACATTTCCTAAACCTTCTCAGGGCTGAATGTGTGCAGGTGTATTTCTTAGAGCATACTGCTAATTTCTACACTGCTGAGATTTTTTTTTTTAGGACACACCGTTATGAAGTGGTACCGCCTCCTATCACCACCATAACCATCACCAGAATGATTGTATTTTACAAACCTCCAGTCTTTTTTTTTTTAATTTTTTATTGTAAAGATACTATACAGAGGGTTATAGTTACATGAGCAAGGTAATGAGTACACTTCCTATTGAGCATTGTTACCCCCTCAAACCTCCAGTCTTAAGATGAGAAAAGGAATCTATAGAGGCTGGGAAGGTGGCTCAGTGGTAGAGTGCTTGCCTTGCACTCTACCTTGGTCAGTTGTGGGGCTTGAATTCAGAGCCTGGGCTCTGTTTCTGAGCTCTTTTGCTCAAAGCTAGCACTCTACCACTTTGAGCCAAAACAACACTTCCGATTTTTTTGAGAACTTTCCCAGGGAAGTAAGACTCTATCTCCAATTAACCATTAGAAAACCAGAAATGGTGGTGTACCTCAAAGTGGTAGAGCACTAGTCTTGAGCAAAAGTACCCAGGCCCCAAGTTCAAGCCCCTTGACAGACCAAAAAAAGAAAGAAAAAAAAAGGAAAAAGAAAAAGAATAAAAAGATGAGTCTATTTACAGATTCATAGCTTAAGGGTAAGGGTGATAGGCACTGATAAAAAAGCAATCTCTTTCTTTTACCTTGGTGTCCTGCCTCTCCACAGGCCCAGAAACAACAGAGCCAAATGAGCATGTACTGAAGCCTCTCACACTAATAACAAAAATAAGACTTTTTTCTCTTTTTTTTGTGTGTATGTGTGTGTGTGGGGGGGGGGGGCGTTGTTGGTCCTAGAGCTTGAACTCAGGCCTGGGCACTGTCCAAGAGCTTTTTTGCTCCAGGGTAGTGCTTTACCACTTAAGCCAGAGCTTCACTTTTGCTTTTTGGTAATCAAATGGAAAGAAGAGTCTCACAGACTTCACTGTGGCTGCCTTGAAAGCACAATTCTCAGCTCTCAGCCTCCTGTGCAGATAGGAT